TGCCAGCTCCTCTGCCTGCCAGCTCAAACCCCCGTGTCTTTCTGTGGGTGGCAGTGGCATGTTGCAGGGACCAGGGTTCAGCAGTGACACTGTGCACAGCGTCCTGTGGAAGGATGAGCTGGCTGAGAGATACCAGGGGCTCGCTGCAGCCCCTTGCCCACCCCTGCCATGTCAAGTGCTCCAAGACCCCCAGGTTTTTTCCTCTCTTTTGCTCTAATTTTTGGGTTGTTTTCTCTCTCCTCTTTCTAATGGGGTGAAAACTCATGGAACCATAAAATGCCAAGACGGAAAATGAGTGATTAGCTCACTCAGCCCAGCCCCTCTGCCAGTGCCAGACCATTCCCTACAGCCTCCCAGGGATTTGTCCAGACTGAGCACTGTGTGCTCCAGCCATGTCTTCCACTGCCTGACTGACCTTCTTCCTAGGAAAGTTTCCCCCATGTCTCGCCTCCAATAGAGATGTGCTTATGTTTGAGCCTGTTGCTGGGTTATGTGCCATCCCCTCCCAGCGCCAGGTCCTCTCCCTCCTGATGGGTGGCGTCTCCCTTGGCCACATCCCTACGGTGCCCAGCTTGGGCTCTCCCAGGACGGCAGGGAGGAATGCAAGGGGCACGGGGTGGCTTCACAGCCCCCATGCACAGGTCACAGCACTGGGCAACCTTCCTCCAGTGGGTAAGGTGCGGGCCGGGGTCAGACCTGCCACCCTGAGCTTCCTGCTTGGCCCTGGTGGCCGTGCCCCTGCTTCAAGGGCAACTCCACTCTGCACCCCAACACCCCCCACCAAGCTGCCCCCTGGCTCAGGACGTCGGGCAGCATCTGCAACACCTCCAGCTGCTCCCACCTCTCCTGGCTCCCCAGCCAGCTCTTCCTTCTCCTGCTGCGCCCGCAGCAGGCTGCTCCCTGCGCTGCCTGTGCCTGGTAGCAATGGGGTAGCTTCCCTTCCAGGGCCTGGTCCTGGCCCCTTGCCTACAGGGGAGAGGAGGAGGAAGGGGAAGGAGGACAAGGAAGGGAGAGGGAAAGGAAGAAGGGGGAAGGGGAATGGGAAAGGAGAAAGGGTAATGATGAAGAAGGAAGGGGAAAGGGAAAGGGAGAGGGAAAGGGAGAAGGAAAGGGGAAGGGGAAGGGGAAGGGGAAGGGGAAGGGAAAGGGAAAGGGAAAGGGAAAGGGAAAGGGAAAGGGAAAGGGAAAGGCTGAAGGAGGAAGAGGAAAGGGAAAGGGAGGGGAAAATGGAAAGGGAAAATGGAGAGGGGAAGGGAAAGGGAAAAAGGAAAGGGGAAAGAGAAAAGGGAAAGAGAAAAGGAGAGGGAGAGGGAAAATGGGAGGAGGAAGGGGAAAGGGGAAGAAGGAACAGGAAAGGGGAAGGCCCTGTCCCGTGGGAAGGGGCAGAGGACAGCATTTTGCAGCAACTGCCTCTTGATGGTGGCACCCGGAGATGTGCAAAGTGCAGGTGCCAAAGGTAGTAAGGAGCTGGGTGGGGGGGTGTCATGTCACAGTCCTCCCAGCGCCAGAGCTCTGGCAATGATGGGAGCAGGACAGCAGGGTCATGCTGCAGACAGCCAGCAGCACACCAAGGCATGCATAGTTCCTCCACCAGCACCAAGCTGCCCAGGGGGACTGCCTCGTCTCCCCACCCTGATGAGCCTTACCTTCCTGTAGTTCCACTCCCACTCACAGTTGAGTTCCTCCATGACCCCCATCTCCTCCTCCAGCATCCCTACCAGCCGCTGCCTGAAGAACTGTCCCAGCTGCTGCCACAGCAGAGACTTCATCCTCAACAAAGTGATGATCCTGGGGCACACAGTGACCCTGCCAGCAATGAGCCATCCCCCACCAGGCCTGGGAAAGCGGTGGCCTGTGTCTCTCTGCTCTCTTTTCCCCACATCAGGGCCTGGAGTGGTAATCTCTCCTGCCTGGCTTGGGCTCAGCATCTTCCAGGATGAGCCCAGACCCCTCTCATGGGGAGCGTAAAGTCCCCAGGAGCCCTGCTTCGGAAGCAGGGAGTGCCATTGCTTTCAGCTCCTCTCCAGGATGCCAGCCAGCTTCTCCTCCTCGCGTGATGGAGGAGGGCAAGAGTGAGCTGTGTGTGCAGCCCTTGCCAGGACAGTGGTCAGCCTGGGGATTGAAGGCTCCTTGCTCAGGTGGGGTGAAAACAAGGATGCCCCAGCCCTGGGCATCCTCAGCCTCCAGGTGGTGAGGAGCCTGAGGTGGACTCCTGTTGACCTCTGTGGCTCATACTGCAGGCTGAGAATGCTCTGTGGGCTGCAGCTCTGGCCCTGCTCCCTCTCAGAAGGTAGTCAGGGCTTCCCAGAACTCAACTGGCAGAAGGACAGACAGCCATGAGGGACAGATCCCCACCTGGAAGGTGGCTCCTCAGCCATGCGGGACCGAAGGAGGCAGGGGGACAAACTGGAAAGCGTCCTGGGGAGATCCAGAAAACTTGTCTGGGCTACATAAAAGGGCCATGAAGGACTTGAACCACAGGAGGTGGGAGGACCAGCCCTGAGCCCCATGGCTCTCTCTTCCCTCCCCAGAAGTGGCCCCAGGGTCCCACACTCGGCTGTGACTCCCTTCCCACAGGGGTTGCCACTGCCATGGAGCCTCCCCCACTGCCTTCCCTGCTCTGACTGCGGGCAGGGACAGTTTGCAGGGAAGCCTGCGATTACTGCAGCGTGCTGTCCTGCTGGGAGAGCCCTGCCTTCCATCCACCTGCTCTAGTTATTAACAGCTCTGCATCAGGGCCTGTGCAGCTGGCGGACTCGGCCCGGGGAAGGCACGGCATGAACCCCCTCCCCGGGATCGGTGGGAGATGCTGGAGGACTGAGGGCAGGGACAGACCCAAAGCACTGCCCTCACCTCGGCAGCAGCCACTCCTCCCAGCCGAAAGCCCCCTTTTTACCAGCAATGGGCCCTGGTGGCCAAGAAGGCCAACGGCATCCTGGGGAGCATCAGGAAGAGTGTGAGCAGCAGGTGGAGGGAGGTCATCCTGCCCCTCTGCTCTGCCCTGGGGAGGCCCCATCTGGAGCACTGGGACCAGTTCTGGGCTCCCCAGTTGCAGAAGGAGAGGGAACTGCTGGAGAGGGCACAGCAGAGGGCTGCAAAGATGATGAGGGGCCTGGAGCATCTCTCTGCTGAGGAAAGGCTGAGGGACTTTGGTCTGTTTAGTCTGGAGAAGAGAAGACTGAGGGGGGGTCTGATCAATGCCTATAAATACTTCAAGGGTGGGTGTCAAGAGGACGAGGTTGGTCTTTTTTCAGTGGTGCCCAGGGACAGGACAAGAGGAAACGGACACAAACTGGAACATAAAAAGTTCCACCTAAACACGAGGAGGAACTTCTTTCCTGTGAGGGTGCAGAGCCCTGGCAGAGGCTGCCCAGGGAGGTGGTGGAGTCTCCTTCTCTGGAGACATTCAAACCCCACCTGGACACGTTCCTGTGGGACCTGCTCTGGGTGGCCCTGCTCTGGCAGGGGGTTGGACTGGGTGATCTCCAGAGGTCCCTTCCCACCCCATAGCATTCTGTGATGCTGTGATTCTGTGTTGCCGCTACTCCCGTGGGGATGCTCCCCGCCGCCCAGCGCCGTCGTCATGGCGACCGCGGACGGGAGGGGCGGGAGCGGGGCCTACGAGCGGGCAGGGCGTGCCGGGGGCGGGGCTTAGGGAGGGGGCGGGGCTGAGGGGCGGGCCCACGCGTGGAGGCGGGGCGGGCCGTGGGGTCTCAGCCCGGCCGAGGGGCGCGGGGGGCTGTCCGCGCCCGGCATCCTGACCCGGAGCCCGACCTCGGGCCTAAGGCCGGCGGCACCGCGGGCGGGGCTGCGCTGAGCACCTGCGTTGTTATAGTTAAAATAAAAAACTAAGTCCGAAATAGATTCACTAAATATTTATTAAGGTAGGAAAGCAAAAGCAGCGCTGGGCGGCCGGGGAGTCGCAGCTCCACCAAGGCTCGCAAATTCAAGCAAGCTGAATAGCTCTTTTTATCCTCACAGAGGTCGGGTTCGACACCTTCAGTACACCCCTCTGCTTCTTCCCTTATCTTTACTCCATCTGGTCTGTCTTGCTTCAAGGCGGTTTCAAGATGATGTCGGCTGTAAATTAGTTCATACCCTTCCCCTTCTACCTGATTAATTAGTACAGAGTTAAAACACGGATAACATTGGGGTTAAGCTTATCTTGTCAAAACAGGACATTATCATGTGGTTTAGCAATATAACGTTGTGGACGTCTCTTCTTGTTAGGGAGTTCTCAGGACTGCCACAATGGGCTCGTTCTTCTTGCTTAAATTGTTGGGTCAGTAAATTACAATCCGACTTTAGGCGAGTTTTACAAGTGGTGGTGGCATAATCAGCTTGTGCCATCTCTTACATGCATTTGGTTAGTACAAGGATAAACATTCGCTTACATGGACACATTTTGATAGCATTGCAGTTTGTGTAAGTCAGGACTTTCTTACACTATATATAACAGAAAAGTATAATCCTAAGATTTGATCAGCAGCAAATCTTCAGTTATTCATTACATGCGTGACGGGGCCCTCCCGCGGCCCAGCCCGGCGCCGGCGTGAGCCCGCTCCCGTGGGCGCAGCACCCAGAGCGGAGCAGACCCGCCCGGGCGGCCGAGCCTGCCGAGCCCAGCTGGGCCGGGCCGGGAGGGCGGCGTTTCGCCTCTGTCTGGCACCGGCTGGGAGGG